CTCTTAAACCCACTCCACTTTGAACTTCTACTGCTTCTGCATACTTTCAGGTAGAGACTTCACAAAACTTTGAACTATTAAACTTGTGTTCACCTTTTTCGATATCTTTTACCATTTTTGAATTATCGTAATCAACTGTTTTAACTGTTTTCAGACATTTTCTGAGTTTATTATGGGTCCCTATGGGCGGAATGTTTCAGAGTTAGAGTGGAGGACTCAGCTGGCAGAGTGCAGAGAGTTTCTGAAACATTTCTCTTAAACTCGCTGTCAGATCCACAATTTTCACTCTACATACATCATTCTTGGTAGAAATTGAGTAAAATTTGTCCTGTTTCCAGCAGTGTGACAGCAGATCATACCAGTTATCTTACCTGCGACAATTATCACATTTTTGACTCCACAAACACAATATTATATATATGCCTTCGGGACAAGTGTATCTCTCTCACCATCACGTTATTTTGATGATTGGACCAACGGTTTGGGAATAGGAAGAACTAGTTCGAGGAGTTAGATCTCCACTAATTCAGCTCTCTTCTCTGTGTTCTGTGTATGTGTGTGTCTCTCTCTGCTCCTCTCCCAGGTGCGCCTAGTTAATCAGCATAGCAACCGCTGTGACACACAAACTCACAGAAACATGATGGTGTGTGCACGTCTAAATCTTAAATGCAGACATGACGGGGCAGAATCTCCATTTTAAACAGCATCTAAACATTATATATCAGTGTTAGCTGTCTGTCATGTGCTATTACAGCCTTTACTACTGATACTACTGTTGATACTTTTAGGATTATGAATGTTAAATACATATTGTAACATATTCTAAATGCATACAATATTATACACACATAATGCTCAGTAACTGTAGTACATGTAGTATGTAGCACTTGTACATCTTTTGATTGATAACTACTACAGAAATCATTCAAACATCAAAATGTTCAGCTCTGTAAGGATTTTCCGATGTTTGTGGCAATATGTTTGATATTTCTGCACTTTCAGCATTTTTTCATTTCAGCTTTCTATTACTAAGTATTACTGCTTCTACTATTTTTTCTGTACATTTTCTGATTATTTACTACCTTTGCATACCTTCAGCTACAGAAACCATTCAAATGTCAAAACGTTCAGTTCTTTAAGGACATTAATACTTGTACTGCTACTACTTGTAGTAGTACTGCTTCTCCTACTTCTCCTGTCCATGTTTTAATTAATCACTACTTCAGCTACAGAAACCATTCAAATGTCAAAACGTTCAGCTCTGTGATGATTTTCAGATGTTTGTGGCAATTTGTTTGATATTTCTGCACTTTCAGCATATTCTTTTATGCATTTACAGCCATGGTCTTGAATTCATTTCAGCATTCAGCATCCACATGCATGTTCCGCAGGAAATGCATTTTCTAGTTAGCAATGAAGACATAGTAATTTCCACATTGGCTAATACATGTGGTAATATTAACCATACCCAATACCGCAGTAGGTTATGAGGTGCCATTTGTGAAGTGGCTCGCACTGAAATTAACAGCAACATTTTGCCACATTTAGCTTCAAGCTACTTTTAAAAAAGTGTTGTGAATTTTTTTAAAGTCACACCACTTTTACCACATTTACAGCAATATTTGAAATATGTTAAATATAATTTTACAGTTAAATTTAAATATCAATATCTAATCTAATCTAAATGTGCTTGGTGAATATAAATATTTAGCTAATATGCAAATGCACACACTGCCGGTCGCCGGAAGTATCAAAATAAAAGCCAGAGTGGTCAGACTGTGTTTATAGCATCAAATAACGAATTAAAACCAAACTAATCTGAAAAAAATGAACACTTGAGCATACATCAGTGTCATAAGAACTACCTTATGCATTTGCATATTAGTTTCACCAAGCACATTTGGATATAGATTTAAAGGGACATTGTGTAACATTTTCAGTTGTTTATTGGCAAAAATTTATGTCTGCATTCATAAATATGTCATCACTGGTGTACTGTTACCTCCACCAAGAATCTGACTTATTCTCGTAAAAGGAGAATTTCGGATTTGTTTGTACATTGTGCGGGTAAGTCGTCTGTGGGGTTCCATTACGTTTTGCCATCTTGAGAATACACCCGCCAGCAAGGGACATACAGCACCGCCTTCGGCGTTTTCGTTGAGAGCCAGGCCAGCACTGCGTGACTGAGGAGCCGAAGGAGAGGAGCAAGAGGCGCTTCGCTACTACCCTGGCAAATTTGAAACAAAGTCCCACTCTTTGAGCATAATGCAGGATC